CCTTTGAATTCCTTCCCCCGTCAACCAACACAGCTAGCGGTGCTCCGAAGTACCTATACCAACAGTCCCTAAACAACTCCGCTACTGTTGACGCTCTCTTGTCAGTTGTTATTCCAGCTACCACAAACCGAGTTGCATGATCGATGATCACAACAAGATAGTAAATTTCCCCAGCCACAGTCCTCGGCCCAATCAAGTCTAGTGAAACCAATTCATTGAAGCAGTCTCTGTCCAGAGTCCCCGGCTTCGACACAGCTACCGGTGCGCTAAACAAACGACGACAAAGTAGACAGTCTCGGCAGAAGTCTTCTACGTCCTTCGTTATGCCCGGCCACCAGAAGTACTTGGTCACCAACCTCAGCATCCTCTTTACCCTCGGGTGTCCTCCAACCCGTCCGTAATGATGGTACGCCATTAGGTCTCTCCTTCACTCCATCGGCACATACACACTGCCGGTACGATCCCTTACCCACAGCCCATTCGGTGCTTTGTGGATACGCTTCTGCACGTTTTCATCTTGCCTGGCTAATCTTTTCAACCTTTTAACAAATTGTACTGACAAGCCCTCATCTTGTTCGGCTTCCGCACAGTACGCCACCCTTAGCTCTGGATTCATCTGAATTCGATCCACCAACGTGTCCTCCCCGACATCTTCTCGTAAGTTCGCTCTAGACAACCAGTAAGCCACCACGTTCTCGGTGCCCTTCAGGTACTCTATCTTAAAGTCGAACTGTTGTAGGAACAACGACCACTCTAGCATGGCGCCTATCGCCCGATCACTGGCGTCCGTCGTTAGCACGAACTCTCCAATGTCTGCCGGCGCGGCTAGCAACACACACTCGGCCACCGATTTCTTGATACTCGGAATTCCTCCTCTCGTGCCTCACTCCAAACAAACTCAGTCTTCCTTTTGAGCAAGTCAGTCATGCCTGCAACTCTACTCGCGAACTGTGGAATATGCCTCTTGAGGTAAGTCACAGAATCCAAGAACGACCTCAGTTCTCTTACGTTACACGGAGCTTCTACTCTCATCAGGTCCGCCACCTTCTTCGGGTCCGGCTTGATGCCTTCTTCGCTTACAATGAATCCTAACAGCTTTGCTTAAGAAACAAACCTTCCTCGCAGCACCTCCCGAGCACCTCGTCCAGACGCTCAAACAACGTATCCAAAACATCAGCGTACACGACAATATCGTCAATGTACACGTTGACATTGTTTCCTACGAGACCTTCAAAGACGCGGTCCATCACCTGCTGAAACAGGATCGGCGAATTCTTAACACCAAACGGAATCGCAGTGTATTCGAATATGCCCCTATGCGACACAAACGCAGTAAACTGTCGGCTTTCTGCCCCCAGGGGTACATTCCAAAAGCCATGATTACAGTCTAGAGACACATAATACTTGTGACCGGCCGCTAACTGCAGTTGCTCCCACAGCAATGGTATCGGGTAGGCCTTCAACGCCATCCCCTTGTTCAACGCTCGGTAGTCGATACAGATCCTCCATTCACCAGTTTTCTTCCGTACAAACA